GAAAATCTCTACATTTATTCATACACTCACAACATGTATTATTTGTTTTGAAATTTTAATTTTTATAACTAAAATGTGGTAGTCAAAAGTTTATTAACATAAAAATATATATAACATCGGGTCTCTGAAAATTTGAGGGCCTAATCTTTCCTCACGACAGGAATATAACTAGCCATGTAAGAATATAAAATTTAAAATTGATTAATTTATGTATAATATACAATGCACATATCTATGTCAAGGAATTTGACATATATAACGTACACACCACAAACCAAAACAATACCGATTAGTTGATTTTGTCCTTCAGGTTCCTACAACAACAAAATGATTGATATATCGATATAACATTAATTGGTAGATCTGATATTGAATTTTTGTTACCTAATCAACACCATCACTTAATTTTCAACTACTACAATCAAATTTTAAAATAATTAAATAAACATAATTAGTTGATACATGTACTTTGTCACAAGAATTCGCCCCACTTTTTGCAAAATAATATTTTTTTTGGTGGTGGCACCATTCTTAAGGGTAATTTTTTTTTGTAAAAGAATAATTTTTTGATCGTGGCACCATTCTCTTAAGGGTAATTTTTTAGGGAACGAAAGATATTTTTCAATTATTTTTTTAAATCGAACATTTGTTATAAATTTTTTTTCCAAATTGGATGACACTCTATCAAAATTCTCTCTAATAAATGAAAGTTTTTTTTGCCATTTGTCACACTCTCATTTAATTTGTCAAATATCATTTTGTGGTTATTTTGAATTAATTTTTTCCCACATGTTATTTTATCAGTTTTTTTATTTTATTAAATTCCACATAAATATTTTAATGTAATAATTACAATAATTGTAGCAATAAATGGATATTAATTTCATTAATAAACTTACATTTTAATTTCAAAAATTCAAAAATTAAACTCATTAGTTTCTTTTCTTTATTTAAATTATTTGTTTAAATTTAAAAGATAAAAACTATTTCCATTATAATAATTCATTATTT